ATAAATTATTATTTGTATAGAGTTTCGAATATCTCAGAACCGGTCCTAATCGTAGCTAAAAAATGAGATATATTATCGTGCTCTTCTCCCTCACTTTCTTCTAAATCTTTTTATTCTTTAAGCTCATATTAATATTTGAATTCTATAACCCACGTATAAATCAATTTATGGTGGTTTAATTATTAAAGAGTTCATCTTCTAGGAATCAAGAAAAGTATATATGATTAATTAGGTATATAACCAAGAAAGAATGTCATGAAAATAACCTAAAGTTATGGATAGTTTGGTACGTAAGGTTGACCATCCGTAGAAAAACCAAATTTTGAAGGATTTTGTTGAAACAAAAAAAAAGTGTAAAAAAACCACTTGAATCACACTATAGGCAAATACAATCCAACATATTCTCATATCGTTTTCAGAATGTAGAAACATACTTGTGAGAGTCCATATGTCTATTTTTGTTACAACAGCACCTTACTAGGAATCAAAACTCAAGTTGTATCAACTATATAAACCAGTCCTTACACATGATAGTAAAAATTTTGGTGATATATATATACACAGACATAGCTCACAAAACGTGCAAAAATTTCTAACATTGCAGAAAAATAAGCTAGCAATCACCAAAATTTAGCAACAAAGAAGTAAGGAGAGAGCACAGTGAACATCCTTTCCATAAATTAAGTAAAAACATCTTTAGTGAGCAGCAGCAATTGAAGATCTCTTAACGAATCTTCCTTTCATTCGAGGCCTTTTCTCTGCATTCAGTTTACGTACCTCGTACCTTATCTTCTTAGAGAACAACCTTGTCCTCCTTTTCTCTCTGTATCTTGAAACCCTAGCCTCTCTTCCTCCATCTCCAGCCTCTCCTATGTGTAACCCTAGGCCGCGAAAATGGTTGTGAGGATGAATCTCTGCTCCATTTTCACCCTAAAATATTTACGAGACAAGATTTATTGACTAGAGACAATGCTTTTTTTTAATGTCAATATTATATAGTAATAACAGTAGTAAAGAATTTGGTTTGCTAGTATTAGACCAGTCACTAAATTGCAATAAAATTTGATTTCGATTATAAACTATCTTGTTGTTAAAAAATTATACTGAATAGTAGATAGAACACGGCAGGCCATTGGATACATACCGTGGAATTGGTTGGGAAACAGACCATGTCGAGGTCTATTTCAGGTGGCTCTCGTGCGGTCCATGGTGTTCCTTGGCCTCCCCAAGTGGAAATCACCCCATCGTAGTCCAATCTAAGCATAAGAGCCTTCTCCTTCGTCTCTTCCTTGATCCTACCACTATTCTCGTTCGCTCCCATGCACATCACATCTTCTTTTTCATTTTCTTCTTCATCAAATGTCGTCTTGTGTGAGTACTCATAGTCAAAGCTTATTTCAAATGGCGCAGTCTCAGCTTCATCAAGATCACACACTTCTCTTATCGCCACTTCTTCCTCTTCCTCTTTTTCGATCTTTAACCTCTCACCTAACCCTAGCTCTTCCATGGCATGAATTTCTCGGTCTATCCCTCCACCGAGGAGAGTCTCCACATCAGCTGTGAACTGAGCCAGTTCCATGTCGGTCGGGAATAAACCATTCAGACAACTCTCACCGTTGTCATCTTCTTCGTCGCTGCTCTTGAAACATACAGACATCATGGGAAAATCAATCTTTGTCTCCACGGATTCGTTTAGGCATTGCTCCTTAACCATGGGGTTCAACACCGGCACCTGAAAAATGAGCTGCTCTTCCACCTCGTAGTTTTGCTCCTCTGTGCTCATCTCCGGCACAAGATCATGGAAAACCATCGAGTGGCTCTTCTTGCCCCCACGTGGTGTCCGGGCTTTACGTGTAAATCCCTGATGCCACGTGGCTCGGTGAGGTGGTGAGGAGGAACCGTGGCGATGCTTTCCGGGGCTAGCCACTTTCAACCGAACCCTCTCGTGCCTACGAGCAAGAGGGTTCGCTGAGTGGACCGAACCGTCACAAGTATGGCAAAGGAAAGCATCGTCAGCTGCGCAATACCAACGCGCCCGCCTCTTCACGCAGCTATCACATGCCCTAGCCGTCTTCCCTCCGACCGCATTAGCCAAAGTTTTCATCATATTGTCACTCTATAGTTATCACCATCAACGAGAAGAAACTTTACTATTGAGTAAAAAAAACAAGTCACAAAGTCTCAGTTGCAAAAAGAATGTTTATCGGACTATGGGCTCTCTCTTCAAAGGTCTGGGTTTTCGAGAAGTGGCTATAAAAAGGGAGACTACATTTTATTTTTTTGAGGCAATGAGGGGTTAAATTTTAGATGTGTTGTAGTCTTGTACATGTCCCACACGATGTGAACTTTTTTTCTTTGTTTATTAGGAGTGTGATTAAAGTTAAATTTTGATGCACTTTTTGGTTGTTTTTACTACCTATGAGGGCCATGAAGAGGTCTTATCTCAATTCTGATTGGTTGAGTTCTTCAAGATGATCCTCTTCTTAGAGTTTTGATTGGTCAGCTTCTTAATAATATGGATATCTTTATGGTCCACATGTCGTTTTCGCTGCCCAGTCACACCTTATTTATGGACTTTGTAAGTTATTTTGTTATAATTTGTATGCAAAAGTCGGATAGTATGGGGCTTATTCTCGTGATTATGTAGAAAGCGAGGTTTTGATTGGTTGTGTCGATTTAAGTCTAAAGTAATCAGTATGACATTTTTTTTTTTTTTGTCAAATCAGTATGACATTTATTTGCGGTGTTGATAGATCAACGTCATCTTTATTTTCTATATGTTCATCTTAAAAAATTAGAGACAACGAAATAGTATTAGTATTCTGTTGTGTATATGACTATATATGTACATGTGTGAGCAATTCCAGTTTTGATGCACTGACACTGTTTATATATTGTATCCATTGCTTTGAACTTTGTAGGTTGGGATGGGGAGTATAGCCATTATGAATATATTGAAGTAATAATAGGTAGATATTTTGGGGGAAAACTGGACAAGATAAAAAAATGAAAAGTGCAGAATTAGATATTCTTGAAAACATTGGGTTAAAAAAAGAGGATAAAATGGATAATTATGAACTATGTGGTTTGAGCTGGACCACATCAATACGCAGAAAACTTCAAAAACAAAAGCATCAAGTATCAAACCTTTTGTTGAGAAGATAAGAGGATCGATGGATAACATGTACAACTCCTGGCTTTATTCGTTTACTTGAAAAGTGATGTTTATATATTGTTTTTATATTTGTAAGAGCTAAGAAAGTTTCGGAGTCTAATTATTGATTAAATTAGATAAGAGATTATTAACCTTAAACATTTGCCTTATCTAGGAAATCATGTATCCTTCATAGTTTTATTGTTTGACAAAATATATATGGTTAGAAAGTGAAAACATTGAATTGGCATCATACATGTTTCATTCCCCTATTTGGATTTATGCTATACTTATAAAAAGTATTGCAACTATCTGTAATTACTCTACTATGTTTAGGTCTAGGACTTCTAATTAAACCTTTACTAGATTTTGACTCACGCCAAGCGTGAGATTAAATGATTAAATATATTTTTAATCTATTTTAATATATAAATGTGTCTGACAAATCATATGATTTCTAATATTTATAAACTTACAAAATGATATGCATTGTGCATAAGTATAATCAAGTTCAATTTTGATCAAATATATTTTGATGCCATCAGTTTTAATTTTTTATGTGCAATTGATCAGAACATATGAAAATGTTA